ATAATATGCGCGAATATCCCAAGAAACTGAGATCGTTGCGATATAAACATATATTTTAAACATTGTGACCTCTAGATGGTCCGCAACCTTGAAATTACATACTTTAGCACTAGTTGCGTACAGGGTCCGGTCATTTCGAACTCATTGTCGGAATATCTGGATGAACTTTCTCGGCCAATGCAGGGATCCATATCCGACCTTCAGGCTAGCGAGCCAGCGTCTTACCCACCGTGACCCCCATTGACAACGTCACGATGTAAGTGTAAATAACAATACCGTGCTGCCAAAAGGCGTCGGAGGGCGCAAAGTCTAATAATTTAAATAATGAGCTACAGACAAAACAGATGACTTTGAGACTCTAAAATATGTGACAATGAGCAAGTTGAAGGAATTAAAAAAAAACAGATACAACAGCTGAAAAATGAAAGAGAAGAAAATGACGAAAAGGTGATGAAAGAAATAGGTGACCTGAAGTAGAAAAATAAAAAAAACTAGAGGAAAGAGAAAAAAAACTTGTTAAGATAAGCCCCGTAGTTAGTGATGATGAGAGGGAAGAAGATGACGTCCCATTCCATAAAAAGTTCAAATGCTCAATTAGGATAGACACAGCGACTCCTACACCAAACCTTAAGTTGAAGTGTAATAGTGCCGCAAAACGTATTGGATTTATCCATAGACTGATACCTACATCTCAAAACTACCTTTTCTGACTAGAGCAACCTCAAATGGGTATAGCTCAGCCCGATACATACCAACCGTACATAATTTTGAAGGTATTAAGGCGGGGGATGTGAAAATAACAATAACTCAATTTTCAAAATTCCCCCCTGCGACTCTATTTTCCAGTGTTGTAAGAACCTGACTCAAAGACCCAAAAGTATAAAAAGAAGAACTGACTCAATGAGTGAAGGGTATGACTGCAAAGGGTAAATTAACGAAAATTGTGCTAAACAGAAAAGAAAAATTGAAAGAACTTGGAATGTGTTATAAAACATAATTCTTGCACTATCTTTACCAATAATATAGGTTAACTCCGAAACATAGAATGTGGTTTTCAGAAAATATCTGATAACTATATTGATGAAATACAAATCTTCATTGACTTTCTTTAAAAAAAAAACGAAAGAAAGTGAAATAACATTCACTATGAATACTTATGAACGAACAAAAACAATCATAGATCGTGTTTAACGTGACATACAGACACGTAGATACGATATCTCAGAATTCTGCACAAGATTCACCAGACAGGATCGGTTAAAAAACGCGTATAAAATTTGACTTCATAAATGAACAAGCACAGTTTATGAAACAAAAAGCTGCTCTAAAAGAATGCATCACTAAGATACAAGCTGAATCTGAAAGGAAAACAACAGAAATAAACGTAGACTTGGAATTGTTGGATAAGGAAAAAGAGATTGTGTACGCAGAATTCGAGAATATGAGGAGCGGGGTTTTGTACAACCTGGAATTAAGAATGAACTAACTTAAAAATATGTTGTCATAATGAAAATTGTCAATATTATAAAAAAGGACAAGTTAGTGAAGTCGAGCTGCATGAGTTGATTCAGACTGCTGGGGTAACCGAATTGACTCCGGTTTTGCTGAAGAGACTTTTTTAACACGTTTCATACAGTTTAATGATTGATCCGAGAACATTATAAGTGAATTAAATACATCTGAATTTGATGAAGATAGAATACGTTATGAAAGTGTGGAAAACCGAACAAGGGGCTGCGGGTGAATATTGAAACGTCTAGAACAACCATATGGCTGACATGAAATCGTCGGAAATGCGTTAAAATCAAAAATAGTACATTTCCCGAATATCTCATTCTGTTGTGCAAACTTAGTGACATTCTAAGTGAGATACAAACTTGCAAAGAGAATCCGAAGTATATAGAGGATATTTGTCGTTTTAGAGTGAATAACATATTTTATTTCATCTCTAAGCAAGAAAACGTTTATATTTTCACGAATGCGTGCACATATTTTATTTCATCGAGAAGCAAGAAAACTTATATTTTCACGAATGCGTAGCATGAGTGAAAATATAAACGTTTTCTTGCTTAGACATGAAATAAAATATGTTATTCACGACAAAACGACAAATGTTCTATTTATTTTATGATTTTACAATCATTTTAGGTAAAAACAACATGGACTACTTTAGCCAGTGGAATAACACTTTTATTTCACTGATAAAATGCGGTATTCCACTACTGATCATAAAATAAAGTACATTATTCGCTTATATACAACCCATTGTCAACAAACTGCCATATGTTCTACAAGAAAAGTGGACAACACGTGCTTCAAAGTACAAAATGAGGCATGATGTAACATTTCATCCTGTTACCGCGTTCGTGACATTTATCAGAAATGATCGAGCATAGTAAAAAAATGATCCAGCATTTCTATGGCAGACAAGTTAAGCGTGAACCACCTACTAGAGAAAAGATATACTCTTTATATCCGATATCAAATCGTAAAACCAATGTAGGCTACATGCTACTAGTCCGATATTCAATCGTAAAATCGATGAAGCTGCGACAAGTAACATCTGCTAATGTACTCTTTGTCCCATACACGGAGCTGACTAACTGTAGAGAATTTATATCAATGTTTTATGAGGAACGCAAGACATTTCTAAGAGAAAAGCGCATATGTTATCGATGTTGCAAATCTTTACATTTTATCAGGGACTGTACAGACAATGTGATATGTGTTGTTTTTTTGGCAGCAATTATCACGTTACTATAATGCATCCGAATAATTTCAAATCTGCAGATCAGATCAGAACGGAGGGGAGAGTTCGCCACCTAAGGAATCAGTGGATACAAAATATGTGGTGAATTTTTATCCAATTGACGAAAGTAACAGATCTTTGGCATCTACAGACCTGTTCGATAGTTTAGGAGTACCAAGCATACCGAATGACTATTCACTTTCTTCTTGCACAGGTATCGTGTCTATGTCTAGGACGAGAAGTAATGTGATCGCACAGTCTGTGCTTGATAAAAATTTACTGAACATTACCAATTTAATTGAATGTGACGAAATACCGAACTTTTCAGAAATTTCGACTCTGGAAGTCGCTAATTGCTATCCATACTTAAAAATGTATAGCTTCACAAATTCCACCTTTGGATACTAAGTCATTTCTATCAACATATTATTACTGATCCTGATCCAGAAGCAACAGTACATACGTCTATTTATCGCCATGGCTCGGTTGTTCAACCTGTCCTTAAATTTAACCTGTGGTTACCCATAACCATGGGTTATATATTTAACTAATCGTTATATAACCTGTGGTTAAATTTGAGTTGTCCAACTATATTTAACGACATTGTTATGTAACCATTTGGTTAAAATTTAACCATTCAATAACCATATGGTTAAAATTTAACCAAGTATCCCATTATCCCCCTTACTTGGAACCAATTCAAGATGGCCGCCAACCATTTTTCCACACCTGCATCTCAATTAGAAAAGAAAAGACAAAAAAAACAATTTCACTCTCGATGAAGTGCTTTTATTCCAAGAAGAAGTCGAGAAAAACTACATAACAATTAATGCAAAATACTCCAATGCCGTTACTAATGAAAAGAAGGGGAAAAAATTGCCCAGAAATGTTCTGCACTTGGCATTGCCACAAGAACTCCTAAAGAAATAAAAGATAAGTGGAACAACACAAAAGAATTGCCAATAAAACTTACACTGAATACCAGAGAGAGGCAAATAAAACTGGTGGTGGCCCACCCCCTAAACCAATAAACCAGGCTGTTGAGGAGGATCACGTGGGTAAGACGCTGGCTCGCTAGCCTGGAGGTCGGGTGTTCGATCCCTGCATTGGGCGAGAAAGTTCATCCCGATTTTTCGGCGTGGTTTCACCTTGTCAGTGATGCAGGACGGAGGGCCTGACAAGGACGGCTGTCTAGTCGTTCGGATGGGACGAAAAACCGCATCCCGTGTACACATTGGCGTAAACGTAAAAGATCCCTTGGCAGTTGGAATTCGATATAAGAGTAGGCCGTAGCCCGGGCAAAATTTCCCTCATAGCACACTGTATGGCGTATGCCCGTCTTCATTAGCCCAGGTTAGGAGCAGAACAGTAGGACGTTAAACCCCATTTCATTTCTGTTGAGAAGGTTATTGGTATGTGTAGAGATAGTGCCTCCTTCAAGGGTATTGAAGTGGGATATGAGAGCAGTTTTGAAATGGTTGGTGAGTTTTCCACATGTCTTAGTATAGTAACATTTATTTTTTTTATATATTTTGCCATTTACCATTCAAGTTTCATTCACTTTTCTTATTTCGCAATTTGGTTGACAATTCGCCAAGCGTCGTCTGCTTTGTTTGACAACAAAAACGACCTTCACCTTGTTTCTTTTAAATTTTGAGTTTGACTTTCGTTTGTATACTGTTTTTACATTTATACAAAGATAGCGTGGATTGTTATCCCGACCGTAATTTATTGAACTGTTTAATGGTTTGGGGGGACAAGAGAGTTATTTGTTGTAGTTAAGTGAAAAATGTTGTACTTTTAAATCATTATCTTTCCTAAGATTATAATTATTGCGATAATAACCCTGTTTTTCAAATAAGCTTCTGTAATATGCACAATCGTATCAACATTTCTGCAGTCGTATAATATTGTTCATGAAGTTTCAAAATAGAGCGATTCACAAGATGCATAAATAATATGATACTCTCTTGTAATTATATATACATGTATTTTTGAAAGATGCAGAGAAATTGAAATTAGTATCCAATTAGATATTAACAAATTAATGGTAATTGTCCTAATCATTATATACAAGGTTTTATTAACAATTTGATGATATACAGAGTAGAGATTGGTTAACAATATTGAAATTTTACATGCAATTTAAAAGAATGATTGAGCAATATGTTCTCTGACGGCTCTGCCATCTTGGGGACCAGTGAAGTCTGGCACTGGAACAGGTTGTTGAGGCACATCCAGGACACTTTCTTCAACCAGCGGTTGGTTCTTTCATTTTTATTGCAATATTATGCAAAATGGCACACGCTCGAACAATACGACTAACTTTCCCTGGCTGGCTTCATTCTTACCTAAAAAATATTAATTTTAAAAATGTGAACTTTGATAAGACATCACATATATATGTATTTTTTTTATTAATGTAGACGTATAAAACAGTAAATATGCCAAGTTTTATTATTATCATTAACATCATCCCTATGAACCTACCGAGCTGTAGTTATATGTATGGTAATACCAGTACATTTGTATATATAATTTTTGCATTATTTCTATTTTTATCTCAGAATGAAGGACCTGGAATCGCCACTTCCCGATCCCAAATGTTCTTTCAATTGTAGATCTTGTCGATGAATGGCTAGTGTTGTAGGTGGTGTCAGGCTTGTGGATTTCGAAAAGGCGTAAGCAAAAATGCTCTGCATGCATATCCACTGTCTCCAAGAATAATGCCGTCGGATATACCTTTATGATTTAATTCTAAATCTGTACACAAAGAGAAAGTTTTAAATAGGTAGAAATCATGTGTAGAGCCTGGCCATTTAGCTGTTATTTGAGTAAATTTTCCTGAAATATTGAATAAAAGTATTAAGTTTCAACGAAGGTTAAATAAATAAATATATATATATATATATATATATTAGATCACCAAAAATTGTACAATCAAATGAACCACAGTTTAAATCATTATTATAACTACAGCAAAAATTTGTTATGAACTTTGAGTAGGATTTACCATATGTTAAATAACTTGCCGGATACGCTATATCTATATATGTGTACATGTATGTGCGAAAAGCCTGAATATGGCTGGGGCAATGGGATAATGATATGTGGTCCTATTCCAACTATTACAATTTGTGGGTGTCAATGATTATAGAGTTATCCCTTGCTCCCTAACAAGGTCAAGGCTTCAATGGAAGAACATGCTAACAAATGTGAAATCCATTGGGGAAATCGGAGAAAAAACGTTAGAAAACAAAGAAAAATACCTTCATGATCACAGACAGCTTGCACATTTATACTGTGGTAGCCCGTACGGTTGACATAAGCTGGTTCATCTGTACTGGGAGCCTGAATACGTATGTGTGTGCCTGTAACGGGACTGTCTTTTGTGGCTCGCCAAAGAGCTCAGAGCAATCCTAGTGGGCTCGTCTTCATAAAGTTCTAGCATTCGACCAAAGAAATGACACAAGGCATTAATAAATAAACAATAAGTTTTATTTATACAGGTATTAACAGGAAACTGTATATAATAAATAAGGCTACTACCGGTATTAGTACTAGTAGGCTATTAGGCTAGATTACTAAAGTAAAATAAATGTATTTCCAATTGGCCTAATGATAATGATAATATGTCAAAGATATCGCGATACGGTCATAATATGTTATTAATAATATGACAATATTAATAGTATAGAATTGTATTCAAGTATGCATCATTATGTTCTTTTGTCTTAAGACTAATTCAAGACCTGGCTAAGTTATTTCTACTTAGTCAATATGTGGCTAAATAGTCGGAATAGGACTAGGCTATCGCAGTAATCGGTAGACTAGGCTAGAAGCGCCGCGAATAATAATTAAACGGCTATAAGTATCATAATATATTATATAATTTGTAAATCGATTTAATATTTAGACTGACTCGTTTCTTACCATTAAGTCTTCCATATTGTAGAACTTAATAAGTCTTAATTAGACTGTAATAACTGTTGATCACTGTCTCTTAGCAGAAGTGAAAACGAGCCAGGGCATAGTGCGCCGAAACAACCGAACGCGGTTGCTTATATAACCTTCCATAGATATCACGTGACTATATTATCCAATCCCTGCATGGGATTTCCTATCGTCCAATGGGAATGCTTGAAATGGCACGCGCTCGTCTTCTAACAGTTAACATAGCGGTAAATGGAAGCGGAGAATCTTAAGCTGTATCTCCTAAATACGTAAGTTTAATGAACTATAATGTAAGTTATAAAAGTAATTCATGTACAAGGAATTCATTAAAGATATTACAAATTATTGACAATATGTATTTATTGTGAAAATAAGCTAAATTCCACCATGGAAGTACACTTCCGGTTTAACGTGACAACGAGACCGGCGAAAGGCCTAGATGTAAACAAAGTGATTGAAATGGCAATGGCTACTTGCTGCTCTACTGTCAGACTGATTTGGTTGGCACTGGAACTTTTTAGATCTTCTTCAAGAATATTACATACTAGCAGGATACCCGGCTTCGCTCGGGGGTCAAAACTCCGAAACCGGAAGAGGTAGACTAACGCCACCTGGCCTATAGTACTCTCCGGTCCGAGCTACCCCTATACCCCAAATTTCAGACTGGGGGCAGATGTAGCCGCCAACCCCGAACAGACCGACTTCGCTCGGGGTTCATAACTCCGAAACCGGAAGTGGTAGACTAACGCCACCTGGCCTATGTTACTCCCCGGTCAGAGCTACCCCTATACCCCAAATTTCAGACTCGGGGCAGACCTAGTGTAGCCGCCAACCCCGAACAGACCGGCTTCGCTCGGGGGTCATAACTCCGGAAGTGGTAGACTAACGCCACCTGGCCGATGTTACTCCCCGGCCGAGCTATTCCTATACCCCAAACTTCAGAGTCGGGGCAGACCTTGTGTAGCCGCCAACGCCGAACAGACCGGCTTCGCTCGGGGGTTATAACTCCGAAACCGGAAGTGGTAGACTAACGCCACCTGGCCTATGTTACTCCCCGGTCCGAGCTACCCCTATAACCCAAATTTCAGACTCGGGGCAGATGTAGCCGCCAACCCCGAGCAGTCAGACTTCGCTCGGGGGTCATAACTCCGGAAGTGGTAGACTAACGCCACCTGGCCTATGTTACTCCCCGGTCGGAGCTACCCCTATACCCCAAATTTCAGACTCGGGGCAAACCTAGTGTAGGCGCCAACCCCGAACAGACCGGCTTCGCTCGGGGGGTCATAACTCCGAAACCGGAAGTGGTAGACTAACGCCACCTGGCCTATGTTACTCCCCGGTCCGAGCTACCCCTATACCCCAAATTTCAGACTCGGGGCAGACCTAGTGTAGCCGCCAACCCCGAACAGACAGACAAACGAGTCACAAATATATATATAGATATATTCAAAGGAATCTTTTCCAAATCTGTATCGAGCCCTTAACTCCGTGTCGGCAAGGTCCTGAATCATTGAGCTTGAACTTTTGAACTTAAAATACACCTGTATACCCGTTTTCTCCTGGGAGGCATGGTCATAAGTACCTGTCTGCAAGCCATCTTGAATAATTTAACGATGCCGTGCCCAGCTAGGTGGGTTAAATATGGATCATTTTAACAATCACATAACCATGCGTTAAATTTAACGACACAATGAGCAACAGGCTTCTACTTTCGTTAAATGATCATTTAACGACATTGTTAAATTTAACGACGAGTTGAACAACTGGGCCCAGGTAACACGTTTTTGTATTCTGTTTGGTTTGCGGCCTTAGAATAAACTGCATTTGTGACGACGAGGAAAAGCCAGCGAATAGAAAATAATGGCAACATTTTGATAAATTATATCCGTTAGATTGCAATATGGAGTACTGGGGTCATTATTTTGAACACCTTGAACATTATTTTGATGCAATTGACATTGGTGTGGATGCTGTCAGTCTACGAAAACGTTATTTTTCAACGCCACGTCATTCCTTTTAACGGCAATTTCCACAGGCAGCTTGGGTGTCAGTTCTTGATCATATTATCTATGCCAAGAAGGCCTCGGAACAAGTATTACTATTTCAATTGCAGTCATTTTTTTATATATTTGTATACAGCTTTATATTTAATATCATAAATTCTAGTTATTCTTTTAAAGTTATTAATTACCTTTTCTAAAGTTGCAAGTCTCACATACAGAAAACATAATTTGATACCGAAAGTCTTGATGACAGAGTGTATAGATTATTTTAGGGAAGATCGATATCAGCTCAATAGTCAACTCGATGAGGAATTGTCGTCGTTGGATAAAATACCAAGTCATAAAGAAAGCCGGGGTCCAACAAATACATCGCAATCGACAGAATGTATAGGTTATTTTTAGGGAAAGTCGATATCGGCTCAATAGTAATCTCGGTGAGGAATTTTCGTTGTTATAAAAGAGTCCAACAAGTACATCGCAACCTATGTATAGGTTATTTTTTTAGGGAAAACCGATATCGGCTCAATAGGCAACTCAATGAAGAATGTTCGTAATTGGATTTAGAAACCTTAAAATCAGTAATGTGTTCAGAAAACGTACTGGCATGTCGCAAAAATCGAATCTGTGCCCTCGAAAATATATATTTACACAAAACACGACAATCTGATTAAAATTAACTCATCGTCGCATTTTCCCACCAAAAATTACAGCCACATAGAAAAATGTGAACATGTGATCATTTTACACTGTTGTAAACATTCAAATTGATCCACTATGAACCGAGAACTAAGCGAATAAAATTTCTGCCTAGCCTCGGTCATCATTACTAAAGTCAGTACGATAAACAGCATAGTCTCGATTATCCATTTAATCGTTAAATCGAGCATGGAAGTTTTGCAGTAAATCGGCTCACAATTCACTTAAGATCGCAGGCTAGCGATGCCATCTAGAGTTGATTATGGTCTGGATAAGTAAATTAATGTCTAATTAATAATTTAGATAACATTTCAGGCCTAAAGAAAGACCTGCAATAGACAGATTTAGCTCTTGCATAATGTATGTTTAATGTATTAATACGTTTATTTGTGGAAAATAAATTATTTATTCAATGTTTAGTCGTTTCATTTATCAATGATACTAAAAGTAGATATTTCAAGTTTTTTATCATAGGCATCAACAACAAGTAATTACAGAAAATATGCCAGTTTTGGATCATAGCAAGGTAGTTGTCTTTGTCACAATCATATTTTTACATCTGTGAATTTTATAACTAAATGCTCACATTTTAATTGGGCGGTGTTGTGCAATTGTGTCCTAGCCCTCAAATTTACAAACATCGTTTTAGTAAATGTTTCGATTAAAGAATTCATGACGATTGATATGCAGTATTGTTTTAGCTCTCCTAAGATGACGCTCAGTATCTGCCCTACAAACCAAGAATCCACTAATCAATGTGAAATCATTGTAACAACAGCGTAGCAATGATTGGGATGGGGCGCCGTGTCAGCGTGACCATTTAGATCGTGGCAGGAACATTGTTGAGAGCGGTGGGGACGTTGTTGTGCTGTGCAAAGGGTGTGCGCCAAGAGCGTAGCGGGGGCTTTGTGTACGCGTAGTTTTCAAGATAACTAAAATTCATCATCTTATCCACTGAAAAAAAAAACATGGCCTCAATCATGAAGAGAAAGACAATCTATATGCGTGTGGTGCAGGAATAGTGAATCAAAGTAGTTTGGTTTTCTCGTCATGTCACCTATTCTTCACCGCGAATTGGTGGTGGTGGTGGTGGTGGGGGGGGGGGGGACGAAACCAGTTGGTCGGATGGCATAGGGCTTCCCAGTCCACCCCTGACAATTTTAATCCAGAGATAAATGCGGAATTATGATTATAAATGGTTGCAATCAGAGGAAATTTGATACCAGCGATACAATAGGTCGTTAACTGGTTTCCTGTCTAACTGAGGACTAAAGCCAACGAACAAGGAGGATGGATCAATGGTGCATGTACGTACATTGAGCGGGCGCTTTTACGGAACAGAGGGCACATAGCCACATCAATCCATATACCCTATCTGGGAATCTCACCGGATTCTATTGTTATCATTCATTTCCAGTTTCTTTTGTTTTTGCAAACACCACCTACCCTCCCAGTACGCCTCTAATGAAGATCCTGATATAGCTTCTCTTACATAATATTCTAATAACACGGTATTTTAATATAGCAATCATTCATTTCATTTTATTAGATATGATATACTTTATGTGTATTGAAAACTTCATAAATCTATACAATCTGTTGTATAGGATAGGCTACTCAATTTGAGCTGATATTTTTAATGTCATAACTTTATCTATTATAACTGTATATGTGTTGCCTTTCATTGTGTAAATCGAATTTAATTTTCACAAA